CAGTTACAGAAAAGACCTTCGCTGACATGTTATTTTCACCTCTTAGTTATTGACTTTTSAGCTGCTTGTGTCTCGTTGCCATCTAAAAGTAGAAAAGATGTTTATTTAATGTGCTTTCAAACCTTAATCAGATGTCAGAGACACAAGTGTCAGATGTAAGAGAGGCAGAGAGGGCGATCAATCAAAGTAAACAYGTCTTGCTTGTGATTTACTTATTTGATTAATATGTTGTGGCTCAGTCCAAGAACCATGACATCATGTTCAGAGATCCTCCTCGTCKAACCAATAGGTGGCAGAAGTTGCCAACGATTTCCAAAGAGACATGACAGACATTCCACCATTTCCAGGCTTAGATGAAACTTCCTAGACAATCTCTCAAGTGCCACTTTGTCTGATAGCTTTTCACTCCAGTGAGAGGTGTGAGTGGATTGACTGGGGGAGGAAACAAGGAAGGGAGGGCGAGCTCGAGGGAGGGGAGGTAAATGTCAGTGAGAGCACAGCGTGATGTTTAAACATTTGCCAGCCTCACAGTTTGTCATTTCTTGGCAATTCCAACGCTGTGAGCAACAATAACGAAACAACAATTCACAAGATCGCAAAGGAAGTCACTCTAGCAGACGGAGGAGGAACCGGATCTGGTACATCCTCTGAAAGCAAACTGGCATATTTGCGTATGCGATGTGATGGAACACTTTGTAGTTGTTTGTATGCTATGATGACAAGTTTAGTGAGTTTGTGACAAAAAAAAAAAAAACGTAGAATCGTTTAAAAGAAATCACGCTGCAGGAAGTACAGCATTTATATGAGTGAATGACAATAACATAAAAACTTGTGTAGAGGTGCACCTCCCAGCATCTGTTTCAGAGCGTTATGGGTTGTTTAGTGTTGGTTGGAAACTTACTGGACTGGAAGAAAAAGATCTATTAATGCACGGAAAAAAATACTAACATGAGACAGCCCTGAATAAGGTGGTTTGGGTCTTCGTATGGTTCTTTCCAATAAATGCGATGAAAACAAACTTTACAGTAAAAGTTTGCTGCTGCTGAAAAAAGCATCAATAGATAAGACAGATATAAAAACAAGACTGAGTTGACTGAACTGTGAATTAAAGTCTTTTTTTCTCCCCAAGATTTGAAAGTAAACTGATTTACTTTTAACAAAACTAGTAATTTGCTCCATTTTAGATAAATCAAATATTTAAAAAGCTTTTGCATGACAGCTGGGAAATTAAAACTTTAAAGTCCTTTCCCAATACAGTGAAGACGAACAGAATTACTTTTTTTATTTACTACAGGATGATGCAGATGTTTTAAAAAAACACAGTTTTTAATAAGATTGTCTCTCAAACAAACAATATTAAGACTCCTAATGTGTTCATGTTTTATACGTCTGTAGGCTTTTGGCAGTAAAACCCACTGTGTCATGGTTGAGCATCAGTGTGAGAGTCACTCAGTGTGTGTTTCTCTGCAGATCATGGCTTCAGGCTCTCTCTCTCTCTCTCTCTCTTTCTCTCTCTCTCTATCTCTCTATCTCTCTCTCTCTCGCTCTCTCTCTCTCTCTGTTTTATCCCCGTGACAAACAGACCTGGGGCTCTTGAGTTTCTCAGTTTGATTTGTCAACACACCGAGGAGCTCCATGTGTTTTTCCTGTACCTGTGATTGGTGCCGCTCAGGCTTCAGAGCATTTCAGCTGGACCATCACTTGGACAGGCATATTATTTTATCAGTAATCACTCCTTATTGGCATTAAAGAAGCGTTCTTGCTAAGCAGCTTTTGCCCGTCTTCGGTGTGTTACGCAGAGCTGTGTAAAAGCGTGCAAACACCCAGCCATTCAAGTGTTGGAAAGTCTGCTGAGAGACAACATGTTCCCAAATCAAAGCAGCATGACCTGCAAATTATTTTACGCTCATTTCAAGGTTTAATTGTTCTGGATGGTTCCAGTTTCTACACTGGAAACATTGTATGTACAGTATTAAAAAATGTTTTGTGTATTTATTTTTTTAAAGTGAAAATTCAAGCTGCAATTAAAGCAATAAGAGGATTTTTGTCAATATATTTTCCCCATTCAGCAGATGCCTCCTGTGTTAAGATGCCTAAATACTAGGGGTGCAACGATAAAGAAAATTCACGATTCGGTTCAGTTCGATACTTTAGTCTCACGGTTCAATATTTTTTCGATTAAAAAAAAAAAGAGAAATTTCCATGCCCCTTTTAACTTGTAATATATTTATTTAATTATGAACATTTGTTTAACCTCAAAAGTAGTAAATTAAATGTTGCTGAAACAGCAAGTTTCTCAGTGGATCTGTGCTCAAAAATGCAGCCTAGGTGGAGTAGTCGAACACAGATCCACTGATCCTTTAACACAGAGCATCTTCAGAAGACAAGTTGATAAAGTAAATTTTAAAAATCTGTATTGTTCGATACAGCACTGTTTGATACGGTTCGGTACGGTTCGATACGGGTACATGTATTGTTGCACCCCTATATATATATATACATACATACATACATACATACATACATACATACATACATACA